TATCACTCAATAAATGTAAACATAAAACAGTCTCTGAAGCAAAGAGATCACCTGAAAGTGTCGGATAGCATTAAGACGAAACCGTGCAAGGCTGAAGAATCTCGCTTTCCTGCCAGAATATCCACAACGTACTTCTATGTCCTTTATTTGGCTACTTACAACCCTGATTGTCTAGGCGAACATATTTTCGAAATGGTATTGTCGCGTGCGTGCGGGTTCGTAATAGGCTGAATCTACAAGTCCGATAATAGGTTAAAGAAATATTTCAGAATTCTGGAATTTTCCACAGAAATATTCGTAGAAGTGTTCACAGTGTCACGCTTTGTAATCAGTAGTTAGACTTCACGCTACTAAGAACGTTAAACACAACTCAATGCAAAGCGCGTCTAAAGAAAAAGTTAACTCGGATTTATCTCAGTTCACGCGGAACTACAACTCGCAACATCAATAACTGAGCAACTGAACTCAGATGCTCTCTCTCCGGGCTTTTATAGTTTTCAACCGGGCGCCGAGATATTTATAGTACTTTATGTTTCTTGAAATTACTAGAAAACAGTAAAAGTGTGGGATTCCGGTTACAGCTAACATAGCGGTTAATTACATTTATTAAATTACAATACATATTACCGTGATGTAGGTCCAGACAAAATGTCACCAAATGGTCACCAAAATTTGTGAATTTTGGCGAGTTTTCGCCAAATATGGCGACAAATAAAATAAGTAGCCTAAACCGTTGTCGTCTTGGCGATATCTTGTCAAATTACCGAGATACTCATTTACTCAATGTTAAATGCATTTGCCCCTATATCCTTACATTTCCGGCAGAGCTTTTCTTTAGATTTTTCATATTACAAAAGAAATACAACAATTTTACTTATAATTCTACTAAAATTACCTATGTAAGTACAAAATATGTAACAATGTATTTGCTCAACCATTTTGCCCACTCTGTGATCTTTTGGAACCCACGAACAGAGCCCACATTCCTCGCTATAAGGCTATTCTAGTTTGTGACTCTGAGACCACCTGATTATTAACGTGTATGGGACTGTCTGGGGCAATGACTTTCAGTCACTTCCGTCATGTTCCATGTTTGAACTTCTTGTATTTTGCCGTACCATTAGAAATTAAAAAAATCCTGATAAGCTATCTAGTTTATATTTTGTCCGCACATTGGTTGTCTATGACAATGCAACGTGGTGAAGGATTTTTCCAAAATTTGATTTAGATTTTTTATTTATTATTCCAACGATTTTTCGTACACACCTTCTTTAATGAATAAACTAAGCACATAATAATTTTGGTGTTCGCACTATTGAATGTAGCGCAAGCAAATCTTTTCAGTAAAACTTCAATGAAAATTGAAACTTGATTTTTGAATTTTTGGTGAATTTTTTATTTTTTTCCTTTCGAATTTCAAGGGAAAAGTTACGTTATATTTTGCACTTTTATAACTCCTCTTGTATTAAATTTCCTAAAACTTCTGAAATTTCGCTTCCTCTGCCCATGAAATTCATGAAATTCAATAAATAACATAACAAAATTTCCTTAGAGTAAAAAGAGAAAATATATGTAAGGCGTGCAGTAGTTCCGTCGAATGACTGTTTAGAGTCTTCCTTGGGAATATGAGTGCTCGAACATCAAATAACAACACGGAAAAAAAAAATAAAAATAAAAATAAATAAATTAAAAAAAAAAATACGCCCAAAGGAACTTTTTTTAACATTTTGTGTGTTACCTTTATTTATTAAATATCACGTTCTTTTCAGTTAAACTATAAAATGCATTTCAATAGCAATGTCACAGAACATTTAAAAACAGCATATGTTTAGAATTTCCGATACACAGTCTTGCACGTTAGAGAGAGAAAAGTCTTTTTTCCCCGTACAGTGTTGCCATCGCTCGCTTTGAATTCAGTGAGTTTATAAGGTATTTCTCCCGCTTTTCTAGCTTGCCTTTGTGGTATAGTGGTTCTGCACGCTGGGCCGGTATTCCAGAGGTCCGCGGTTCGATTCCCGGCGAAGGCGATTGCTAATTTTTCATCTTGCCTGCTTCTAAAATTTACCTAATGTCTCTACAGTGGCGTCCGAACTAAAATGCTTGTGGATGATGACACTTCACACCCAGCATTTGGCGATTGGGTCCCCTAAAAAAACCCCAGGCGCCCTTTAAAAATGGGAGTATATAAGGTATTTCTGCCGCTTTTCTAGCGTGTCTTCCTGGTGTAGTGGTTCTGCACGCTGGGCCGGTATTCCAGAGGTCAGCGGTTCGATTCCCGGCGAACGCGTTTGCTTATTTTTCATCTCTCCGGCATTTTGAATAAAAAAAAAAATAAAAAAATAAAAAAAAAAAACCTCATGTCTCTACAAGTTTTTTAAATAAAAATTCGTTAAAGTTTCACAAAATATGAAATAAATTCGAAATTTAAAATCCGGGCGTCCAGGTGCCCATGTTCTGATGGGGGATTACGTTACTCAAAATTTGATGGCTCTAGGTAGTCTTTTCACAATGCGAGAAACATAGAAACATTCATGCAGATTCTTATTTAATTTCTTTAAATATAATACAGGGCAATAATATTTGGTGGCAACAATTTAAAAAGGTGATTCGTCATTTATAATGAACTCCACAAAATGCTGTTTCGAGAGTAATAATCCTTTAGGGCTACCCCCCCCCTTTGGGATAAAATTTCTGAGAGCTTTCAGATTTTATAATAAGCCCAAGGGGACGTTTTGTTTTTCATTTATACATACATATACGTTTCAAGAGCATTTGGGATAATGCCTCTTACGTTTAATTAAAAAGTGTTTAAAAAATCCTAAGAAATATATCTTAAAAATATTCTCTTAATAATATCTAAAAGAGCATTTCTTTAGAATTCCGATAGACAGTCTCGCGTTCTGGAAATAAAAATGTTTTATTACTCACAGTATACTGCCATTTCTAGATGTGAAATCTTTCAGTTTCTTGATCGTTGAAATTTAAAAAATATGAAATAAATAATAAACCAAATTCGAAATTCAAGATTCTGGTTTGCAGGTGCCCATGTTCGGGTAGAAAACTGCGTTATTCAGAATTTGATAGCTCTAGGTATTGTTGTTTTTTCACAAGGCGAGAAACATGCATATATTCATGCAGATTCTCCATTATTTAATTTCTTTAAATATAGTACATTGCGATAATATTTGGCAGCAACAATTTGAAAAGTGATACAGCCTTTTATAGTGATTCGACGCAAAATGCCGTTTCGAGAGTAATAGCCCTTCTGAGCTGACGCTCCTTTGGGTTAAAAACATCCTTTTCTAATATTTTGTCAGTTAAAAGAGCACATTTTTATTATTTGAAATTATATTTTAGGATTACTTTATTAGCCAAGTATCAAACAAAAAGTCTTTTAAAAGGATTTTGTTATCGTTCGAATAATGTAATCCACTTTATCTTCATTTGTAGAGTACGTGTTGTATTTCTTTCAGTTTCAAATAAAGTAATACTTCGAGCGCGGCATTGGGATTGAGATATATTCGTATAATAGCATTAATCTCTTCTTTTTGCACGTTTTGCTATTTATTTACGGAAAACGGCAGGTGTAAATTTTTCCTAGTACAACAGAAATGTGATATAATCATTTCACCCTGAAGAGAATAAAATAAAAATACGTAATCGAAGTTCGAGCTTATAGATCCTCACTCTATGGTTTTCAAACGAAACCAGTATAAAACTGAGCACTGAAGTGTAGAAATCCTGCATCAAAGGTATAAAAAATGTATTTCGTTAGAGCTCCTGCCAATGAATAAGTAAATATGAAAGATGAGATGTCGTAAAAATTGCGTGTAAACTGCAAGAGATTTGGTATTTCTTTTTAGGTTTAGAGAAGAGACAGGAGAGCTGTGAGTAACGCATGCGTAGCTCTGCCGATGCGAAGTAGAATATCTCGGACTTCGAATATTCGTCGCTCAGACTTCAGAGTGGAAAGTTGCGACACAATCCGCCTTCGGGAAAGACCTTTGAGAATGATTAGGTTTCGTATCAGTCCTGCCTCTGGAAATTCAGCTCTCATTTTTAGAGTTTCCTTCAACTCTATTTTGTTAATGTAAACAGGAAATTTCAGAATAGCTGTTATTAATTAACATCGCATAATATAAACATCGATGTGCTCAGCTTCATGTTTAATTACCTGTTTTAAATCATCTTAGTGAAACAAATTGGTTCAAATTAGAAAATTTGTTACATAATTTGGCAAGCTCAAGGGAAACTTTTATAGAAATTACTATTTTTCATCGATTGGATATTGTGTTCGTGTCAATTGAACAAGGAATAATATTTTTAATTATTTTTAAAATTAAGATGTAAGTATTGTTTTTGAAAATAAGAAAATGATATAAGGGATTATGGGAAACTGAAAATTTTATGTATGTTAACTTATCAGATTTCCTCTTAAGTGTATTTATAAATACAGAATATTCTTAAAATAGTAATAATTTTGTCAAAAGTACCCCCTAATATATTGAAATTTTCTGAAGGTAAAACATTAACAGAAACAAATAAATTATGCCAATTTTTTTAAATTAGTTAGCATAAATTATTTGCTCTAAATTTAGTAATTTTAAACAGTTTCTATAAGGTAAAAAATTTGATACCTTTAAAATACGAATATCTTTTAAATATGATTATAAAACTGGAATTGACCTAAATAAATTTACACAAATATCTGTAATACGTTATTTTTAGTGTTTTATTCATACAGAAAATGAAGCCTAGGTTTTAAACGCATTTAAAAGCGTAATAAAAGCGTAAAAAGTAAAAACATTAAGAATACAATAATCTCACTCCATCTCAGACAAAATATTTAAGAAAATTGCTTTTCTTACCCTAATTTCGAATTTACTTGGAAAATTATATTTAACTTAATCATCTTTCGAATTTTAATAGACTTTTTTTTCCCAAAGAAACTTAGCATAAAAACAGGCATCTGTTCAAAAGTTATTTTGGGCGTGCTTTGAGGAAGCTGCAATAGCTGGTCAAGAAATAAAACTTCTAAAATATGCAAAAAAATCCCAATGACATGCTGCTGAAAAATAAAAAAACTTGCTACTTCTTTTCGTTATTCGAAAGGGGCAACAGAAGAATGAAATTTCAGCACTTTACTTTGATCTTTTTTATCAAATATTTAACATTAATTTATGCAGACACTTTTATGATGGGCTATTTAACTGGATCTGCACGGCTTCCCGGCAATAATGACTATGCGAGACCAGGCCTGACTATTTCTGGAGCCATCAGCCTTGCGGTTGATGAAATTAACTATTTGCACCCTTTAATTGACGGACACATCTTAAACTTTACAGTGGCTGAAACTTATGGTGAAGAAGAAGAAAGTATTTACCAGGTTGCAGTCTTGTGGACTCAGAATATTTCTGTATATATAGGACCCCAAGAAACATGCATCCATGAAGCAAAGATGGCATCGGGATTCAATCTGCCAATGATTTCATATGTAAGTACTATACTCCTTTTTTCTTGATAATTATTTCTACAAAAACGTAATTAATTATAAATAATATTGCATTTTTATGTGAAGGAAAGACTTTGTCTGAATGCTGAATTTGCTCATAATGCCACAATACTAAAAATTGTAGGTTTATTCATGATAAAGGAAAAAAATTCATAGCAAATGAGCAACATAATCGATACCAAATTTTATTATTCAAAAGTGGATTCAAAAATGGATTCATGTGTGTCACATTTACTAATATGATAAACATCTATGCGATAAACCATTGTGTGTCTTGCGCCTGCCAGTATACCACCATTGACCAGTAAAACGGTGATAAGGTTGCGAACATTCTGAAGATTAACAGATAGTAGACGCACAAAGCAAATCGTTGTGAGGAATATTATACAGGCTTAATCTGAAGAGCTTGGGGTCATCTTCACATTAACGCATCATCTCCATGTCATGTTCATTACCTTCTGCAGACATACTGTCACAAGCATATCTTTGTTATAGATTCTGTCTGAGATACTCTCATAGATGGTTTTGATCATGGTCTTTGCAATAGTGAATCCGATAACTATCTTGCTGAAGGCATCAGTTATAACCATATTCATTCATCTGTGAAATCAGTCACTTTCCCTCTATGTTCAGGCAAATTCTATCAGTAAAGGGTATATAAAATCTACTGTATTGGTAAAAATGGACACACTGAGAGTTTGTAGCAAATTTAAAATATGAGTTACTTCAGTAAAAAACATTTCATGTGACTTGCATAATTAATTTGTTATGGACTTCTAAAGTATTTTACAGGGGTATAAATAGCCATGTATTTTCAGACAGAGTTTTAAATCAAGCTATTACCACAACTTGATAGAGTGAACAGAAATCTTCCTATTTGCTGTACCATCATACTTATATATTAATTACATTAGTGACAAATAAAACCACCGTAATAATTACATACTAATTGTTCAAAAATAGAAATTATATTTTTTTCAAAGTGTTCACTTTTATTTCCTCTGCTGAGCTCCTACAAAAAATTTTAAAGAATGGTGGTTAATATTAATATAATCTAGTTACTTAAAAATATGGAGACTCACTTCATAAGCTGTGCGAAGTAAAAGAACATGCATAGCTCATCTGATTGTATAGTGTCATCTATTGTTATCTGAAAGTCGAACAGACTTCCCAATATAAACTTTGAACGAAAATTATTTCAGGAAAACTGAAATAAATTTAGATAATAAAATTTCTCGTGGTGACTACTTTTTAAAAAAGACCGTCTCTGAAAATGAGCGGGTTCTCTGAAAATAAATATTGGTCCTGGATAGTACAGAAAGTAGTTTCTCGAAGACCATCACCTCGAAAGATGACCAAAAATCATCTGGAATCATAAAAGGCATCTCAAGGTGTTTTTCTTGTGTATATGTTTGACTCAGAGATAAAAATTTGTATTTCATTTAAGAGTGTATAAAAGTAATTACCTTTTAAAAGTACAAGGCACATTAAGAAAGATTTGTGCCTTGGTACAGAGATTATTATTCAAATGAAATATCTTGAATTAATTTTTGCATAATCTTTATTGAAATTAATTTTGTGTGGAGTTGCAAGATAAGAAAAATGCCTTTGCAGTGTTAAAAAAAAATGTTTATATACGAGTAAAATTGTTATCCTCAAAGTATTCATTTCTTAAGATATGCTTATAAGTTTTATATTAATTTATTACTCTTGTTCAGTTTAATTTACTACTCTGAGGAAGAATATATAGTTTTTGAAAAAATGATAAAAAAGAGGAAAGCAGTAACTTTTAAGTAATTTTCATGGTCTGCGTACAAGACTTAAATAAATGCAATGAGATACTCAGCCCAGTATTTAAAATTGAGTTAAATTTAGCCTTAAGTTTCATGGAAAAGTTTGGTGTTTTCAATAGGTAATCGCAACGGATTGATTCTTTGTAATAAGTATTGCATCTTCTATCCTGACAACTTCTAGGATTCGTGTTTTGAATTCGTGTCTTCCTTTGAATAAGCTCTAAATATATTAAAAGTTCTTTAACTCAAGATGCCATATACAAGTAATTGGAAATAACAAATGATTTTGAGCAATAAAATACAAGAAATTTAATACAAACTTCAACTTAACACTCATAAAAAATTTAAAGTAAAATAAAACTATTTTAGCTGCGTGATTTAAAACTGTGGAGCACAGTTTATAAAAAGCTTGTTCTGTGCAGTTGAATATGTCAACTACATAGAGATTTTATGTTTCTTTACGTATTACTTAGATATGAGTCCAATGTTACTTGATAAGTCCTCCACGAAGGAGTCTCTCTCATAAAATAAAGAAATATTGCTTTGCTCTAGTTAAATTACCAAGCAACCGAAAAGTTGCTAATTACTGTGAATATAGAGAAGTAAAGAAAAAATGGTTCATATTGGTAAACTATATTAACTAAAATTAATTTACTGGTGTGCCCTAAGATGCCAGTTCATAAGACTAGTAAAATGCCAGTTTACTTTTCACTCACGTCTCTAATTTCGAAAAATCTCTACCTAGTATCTATAAAAAGTCAAATGACAGCTTGAAATCAGTAGCTTATACTGGGGGTAAAATATTCAAGAGTATTCATATCCATTTATATCAAATTTATCAATACTCTCTGCCAATATTTTGTGAAGCTCCATCCGTGTAAACGGGTAGGCTGAAACTGCTCAATAGTAATGCCAAGCTTTGCAGGATTAACATAAGATACGAGTTGCGTCTTGAAACTGTTTGGCGCATGGCTAGAGTTTACAGATTTGATTATATATACGCATTTTGACAGCTGGTATTGTGCTGGAGAGAAGCTGAAGGTAGAGAAAGCTTCGGTTTCCTTCGTTTCACTTCTGCGAAATTAACTTCCGTGTTGGACTGCTGTACTGGAACTCTGACATTTGTTGGAAGGGGTTAATGGGCATGAAGAACTGCTAGATGCTGCTTATTAGAATTCGGCGACTTGTGTCTGGAGCTGTATGGTGCGACTTTCTTGTCTGGCAATGGTGGCAATGGTTCCTGTGATGATGTCTTAATTTGCGCAACTTAATTAATCTAAATTAATTACAAATATAATGCTTATTTAATTACAAATACTATGTGTTCAACGGTTGATTACAGATACTATGTTAACTGCTAAATTAAACAAATCAATCTGAAAACTTAAAATCAATGGGGCCTAATCAGTCGTCAACTGGTACGTGTACTCCCAGGGTACTCGATGACGTAGTCAGTATAATGCTAAAACATTTCCAGTAATCGCAGAAAATAACGCAGTGTTATAATAAAAGTTGACGAAAAGCAAAATATTTAGAAAGTTTCAACCTTTTATTTAATTAAATGGGGAAGCAATTGCCACAATTTTGGATGTACACACACAAAAAAAAAAAAGTGTAATTACTAGCTTCGCCCACGTCTACTTATTACACTTATTCATCCCAGATAGCAACTCCCTTCCTCGTTCTGTTACTGCGTATCATATAAAACAATTGGCAGCCAAACATATTATCAGTATTGACTGAATTATTAAGCAGTTACTTAGATCTCTTTCTTTATATCTGAGATTTTTCAAACCAGTTTGAGTCTAAATTTTGTTTCAAATTACTTTGTATGCTCTTAAAGTTATTGCTTGTAAAGTGTTGTTTTTCTAAAACTGAAAAGTTGCTAAAAATAGATCTTAGCACAGAACTGAAAATACTGCGGGAAATAAGCTCAGATTTGGCATCTGCGCTTTCACTTTTTGAAAACTTTTTATTTCATTTAAACATAACTGCTCAGAAGGTCTAGTGGTTAGCGATACTGACTTAATTGTCAAAGGTTTCGTCTTCAAATCGCGAAGAAGGCATGGATATTTGTAAATGTTTATAATGTTTGTGAGACATGGGGGCTCTCAGCCCACCGAAAGACCTGTTGAGTGGTTTGGTTGAAGGGTAAGAGGAATGGGAGACCCAGACCCTGCCTCTGGAGTGCTTTCCTTCAAAATAGGTGTCGAAGTGGGCAAAGTCGTAATGTGGTGTTATTTGTGCTGATGCCTACGACAGATGCAACAGACAACAGATGCGACAGACTCTCTTTACTCCGTTCTCACCATTTACTTGCACTTCTTGCCATTATAAAATACGTGGCTTTGTGCTGATTAGACCAGACAAGTGAGATTGCCCACAACAAAAACTGACTTGAAGCTTTATAATAACAAATGGCTTCAAGGACTTGGGTCAATATAAGATGTTTCTTATTTAAAATTGGGCCCACCAGCGGCCGAGCGGTAAAGTCGCTGAACACTGGTAGTTCGGTCCGAGGTTCGAATCCCACGAACGGGCTGGATGCATGGGCGTTTTCGTGGTTTTCTCCATGTGTAATATGTATACGAGCCAGTTTCCTTTAGAAAGCCCTCCACGAAGGCATCCCTCCCCTTGGGAAGATAACCCTAGCGTGCTTTGCCGTAATTAAGTAAACCAAACTTATTTAAAATTAGAGGAAATTTCATAACTGTTTTGAAAATATATGAAGAAAATTATTTCATGATAAAAACATTAGAATTTTTGCAGGTACATATATTGAAGGAATTCATATCGAAATATTCGAGATGCTTCATGACATATTTACATCAGCTTACAAAGAATGTCAAGGAGAACATCTTAATTAGCAATACTTTCTTAAAAGAACTGAAGTTTAGATCCTTTAGATGAAGATTTCTTTGAAGCAACGTCAAAATTATCCTTTGAGATATGAACGTATCTTTTATTATAGATTTTTTATTTATTCATTGAAATTTAACTTTATGGTATCTAAATGATGTAATAATAAGATGTATTGTGAGAATACTGAGGTCCGAAGGGTCATAAGTTCTAAGGAGAGATGTTAAGGATACTCTGTAATTATAAAGCATTATTAATGGGTACGCAAAGTAAAAATATTTGGAATCCAATGATATCAGTTCCACCTTAATTCTGACATATTAAAGAAGC